ATCATAAAGCAACACAATCATAATCTCCATTTCTTGGAATATGAGTATGAAAATTTCCCAAAGTATTAATAAAAGTGTTTTTTTTCAAATGAACCAACCCATTTTGCAAAATACCTTTTAGTTTTTGAGACAACAATATTTGAAGTTTTGATAAAATTGCAATTTTCATCGATAACTTTCAAAATTCGATATAAAATTAATTTCTTGAAGGATTATTGTGGAAATATCACCAATTATTGATTATAACATCCTCTTTTTAATGCAAAAAGCCGTTTTGAAAAATCGCTTTTAGTTTTTGAGATATAAATTTTTGAAATTTTTTTCGAATTTTTCAATTTTCGCCGATTAAATTTTAATAATTCGTATAAAATCCATTTCTTGGAATATGAGTTTGAAAATTTCCCAAAGTGTTAATAAAAGTGTCCTCTTTCCAATGAACTAACCCGTTTTGAAAAATACTTTTTAGTTTTTGAGAAAACAATATTTGAAGTTTTGATAAAATTTTCGATGTTGCAATTTTCATCGATAACTAACAAATAAGTTAATCAGCTTTCTTATAATTAATAATCATTTTTATTCAAATATCGGAATAATGTGGCAATATAGCTTTTCGCAAAATGACTATTCGTTCCATCACTACTATCCGTGCAAAAAGTCAAGGCCCTTTCATCATTTAGATCACTTTAGAGATCGATATCTTCGTAACCGCTCGATAGAAAAAATTGCGGTAAAGTTTATTGTAATCAGTGAACATTTCCGCGTATCACATCATTAATTTGAAAATTTTCCAGTCCGCGGTTTTTCTTTTATCGCGAGTTAAGTGAAAAAAAGTACCTGATTTTTGAGCAACTTTGTCTACTTTGCCATTTTTTTTCTCCAAAACTATTTCACGAAAAAATTTCAAATTTTAACTGGTGGTAAACCGATGTGTTTTTAATGTGGGGCATATTTTATTTTTTCGATATTCAGCACAGCGATTTAATGGAATTATAAATTAAAGAGAAACATAAATAAGTCCTAGAGAGTACGTCGCGCCTCTATTTTAACTACATAAAGAAATAAGGCGCGACGTCCTGTCTGGAACGCACCCTCTGTTCCGATTAGACGAAACCTCCGTCACCCCGCAGAGCTTATTTCTGTTACTCTTTAATTTGTAATTCGATTAAATCGTTTTTAAAAAATTAGGGAGCTCTAATTTTGAAAAACTGATGCCGGAATCATTATTTTTGCACGGATAGTCCGTTTCAATTCGTTTTATTTGAACGTACGTTTTTCTAATCGTCTTACGTCTTTTAATCTTGCATTGTAAAACTCTTAATAATCCCGGATATCTTTCAATTCTTTTTTCTCTCGTTTCTTTTTTGTTGTTTCTTGTAAAGTGCACCCTCCAATTACAGTTATAGCTCTGGGGAATCTCTTAGAAAACGTCGACTTTGAGTGGGGTTTCTTAGAATTCCTTTTTATTTATTTCTATTTTTATTTATTCTTTGTAATACTTTGGTTTGATTTTTTTTTTTTGTGGAAAATTGAAACTGTTGTTGGGATATAAATTGGTGGTAGAGAGGATAATAAATCCCAATTAGAGGAGCCGCCTGCTGGAATTTGAACGCATCCGGATTTTTTTTTTTGATATAAAAAACCTTTTTAACAACCCCCAAAAAAATGTTACATAAAAAAGAACGACTTATAATCATTTAAAAGCGATTTTTTTACCTATCGTTGTTATGACTGTTAGTGAATATAAAAATGCGCCGGAAACGGTCCACATTTTGGCAGTCTTGTTCTTGCCGGAATAACCGTGATCCTTGGCTTCGACGGAAACGGTTTCTTGGAATGACAAAAGGGTCGCGTTCACTTCGTTCCTCCATTGAGTTTTATTCAAAATGTTCGTCGAAACGGTTAGATTCCATAAACTCGTCGCGATATTTCGCTTTAAAATCGTCATATTCGCGAACATTTCTACAGTTAAATCCGACGAATCGCTCTCCTCCTCGATCCTTATAAATATAAAAGCCCCCGCTATCGCATAACCAACCTAAAAAAACAAAAAACTTAACAAAAACAAAACCAATTAACCCAACAAAGTTACCACAAGCCCAATTATACCAACATTACTAAACATAAACGCAATAAATTTCCTTAAACATTCCTTAACTTGTTTCGCCAAAGATTGGCGACTTCTTCTCCGTCTTCGAAACGATCTTTGTCGGTCCATTGGAGAGTTAAATTTGAAATTTTCTATGTTTCCTTTTCATTTTCTCACCTAAAAAATCGTTTATTATTTACTATTTACGTATTAATTAATTATAACAAATTAATAGTGAATTTTGGGAGTCTGCGGTTATATTTTGCGTCCCTAATAATGTCCCAGGACCCGTCCGAAAACGATTTTCTGGTTCCGGTTTCCGAATTCGGATTATAAACCGGATCTCTGTATTAAAACCGCAAATCCTGCGACCGAACGACCCTTATCAATGCTGTCAGACGCAAAGGGAGAGGTTTTCACGCTCGATTTCGGACTCCCCCGATCCGCAACCTTTGTAAATACGACTAAAAATACGAAATTTCTAAATAAGCCGCGTGTTAAGCGCGAAATCCGATTAAGATCCGGTATAAATTAGGTTTGACAGAGTTGACAGATTTGACAGTTGACGTTGATAGATGTTTTATGCGCCTTTTTGGATTTTACAGATTTCTTTTTAAAAAAGGAATCTGCTAAATTAATTCCAAACATTCCTGAGATATCAGTTATTAAATAAAAATTAAAATTTGACATTTGACATTGACAGTTGTGGTAACCGCCATGTTGAATTAATTAAAGATTTAATTAATTTCATTTTAACAAAAAAAAATTTTAATTAATTCCAAACACGTCTGAGATATCAGTTATTAAATAAAAATTAAAATTTGACATTTGACAGATGTAATATGTGCGCCATGTTTCCTCATTTAAGCATAAAAAGACGTTTTAATTTGATACCAACCTAAACTACGTTCTGCGTTAGTTGATAAAAATTTAATTTTGACATTTGACATTGACAGTTGTGGTAACCGCCATGTTGAATTAATTAGATTTAATTAATTTCATTTTAACAAAAAAAATTTTAATTAATTCCAAACACGTCTGAGATATCAGTTATTAGATAAAAAGTAAAATTTGACATTTGACAGATGTAATATGCGCCATGTTTCCTCATTTAAGCATAAAAAGGCGTTTCAATTTGATACCAACCTAAACTACGTTCTGCGTTAGTTGATAAAAATTTAATTTTGACATTTGACATTGACAGTTGTGGTAACCGCCATGTTGAATTAATTAAAGATTTAATTAATTTCATTTTAACAAAAAAAATTTTAATTAATTCCAAACACATCTGAGATATCAATTATTATAGATAAAAATTAAAATTTGACATGTAACAGATGTAATATGTGCGCCATGTTTCTTCATTTAAGCATAAAAAAACCTTTCAATTTGATACCAACCTAAACTACGTTCTGCGTTAGTTGATAAAAATTTCATTTTGACATTTGACATTGACAGTTGTGGTAACCGCCATGTTGAATTAATTAAATGTTTAATTAATTTCATTTTAACAAAAAAATTTTTAATTAATTTCAAACACGTCTGAGATATCAATTATTAGATAAAAATTAAAATTTGACATTTGACAGATGTAATATGTGCGCCATGTTTCTTCATTTAAGCATAAAAAAACGTTTCAATTTGATACCAACCTAAACTACGTTCTGCGTTAGTTGATAAAAATTTAATTTTGACATTTGACATTGACAGTTGTGGTAACCGCCATGTTGAATTAATTAGATTTAATTAATTTCATTTTAACAAAAAAAATTTTAATTAATTCCAAACACGTCTGAGATATCAGTTATTATAGATAAAAATTAAAATTTGACATGTAACAGATGTAATATGCGCCATGTTTCCTCATTTAAGCATAAAAAGACGTTTCAATTTGATACCAACCTAAAGTACGTTCTGTGTTAATTGATAAAAATTTAATTTTGACATTTGACATTGACAGTTGTGTTAATCGCCATGTTGAATTAATTAAAAATTTAATTAATATTATTTTAACAAAAAAATGTTTAATTAATTCCAAACATGTCTGAGATATCAATTATTAGATAAAAATTTAAATTTGACATTTGACAGATGTAATATGCGCCATTTTGAATTTGACAGATGTAATTAATTTCATTTTAAGCAAAAAATCCTTTAAATTAATTAAAAATACATTTAAGATGTCAGTTATTAGATGAAATTGTATTTTGACATTCGAAATGACACATGTCACTTACGCCATTTTAAATTTGACACTATCCTCATTTTATCATAAAATATCGTTTCAATTTGATTTCAAACACAACTAGATTTTATGTTAGATCAAATTAAATTTGACATTTGACGTTGACAGATGTGGTAACCGCCATGTTGAATTAATTAAAAATTTAATTAATATCATTTTAACAAAAAAAATTTTAATTAATTCCAAACACGTCTGAGATATCAATTATTAGATAAAAATTCAAATTTGACATTTGACAGATGTAATATGCGCCATTTTGAATTTGACAAGGATGTAATTAATTTCATTTTAAGTAAAAAATCCTTTAAATTACTTCCAAACACATCTAAGATGTCAATTATTAGATGAAATTGTATTTTGACATTCGAAATTGACACATGTCACTTACGCCATTTTAAATTTGACACTATCCTCATTTTATCATAAAAAATCGTTTCAATTTGATTTCAAAAACAACAAAATTTTGTGTTAGCTGATATGTAATAAATTAAATTTGACATTTGACGTTGACAGATGTGGTAACCGCCATGTTGAATTAATTAAATATTTAATTAATGTCATTTTAACAAAAATATTTTTAATTAATTCTAAACACGTCTGAGATATCAGTTATTAGATAAAAATTTAAATTTGACATTTGACAGATGTAATATGCGCCATTTTGAATTTGACAAAGATGTAATTAATTTCATTTTAAGCAAAAAATCCTTTAAATTAATTCCAAACACATCTAAGATGTCAATTATTAGATGAAATTGTATTTTGACATTCAAAATTGACACATGTCACTTACGCCATTTTAAAATTGACACTATCCTCATTTTATCATAAAAAATCGTTTCAATTTGATATCAAATACAACTAGATTTTGTGTTAGCTAATATGTAATAAATTAAATTTGACATTTGACGGTGACAGATGTGGTAACCGCCATGTTGAATTAATTAAATATTTAATTAATGTCATTTTAACAAAAATATTTTTAATTAATTCTAAACACGTCTGAGATATCAATTATTAGATAAAAATTTAAATTTGACATTTGACAGATGTAATATGCGCCATTTTGAATTTGACAAAGATGCAACTAATTTCATTTTAAGCAAAAAAATCCTTTAAATTAATTCCAAACACATCTAAGATGTCAATTATTAGATGAAATTGTATTTTGACATTCGAAATTGACACATGTCACTTACGCCATTTTAAAATTGACACTATCCTCATTTTAGCATAAAAATACGTTTCGATTTGATATCAAACCCAACTAGAGTTTGTGTTAAATAGAATTTGACATTTGACGTTGACAGATGTGGTAACCGCCATGTTGAATTAATTAAACATTTAATTAATTAAATTTGACAGATGTAATATGCACCATTTTTCCTCATTTATGCATAAAAAGATGTTTCCATTGTTACCAACCTAAATTACGTTTTGTTTTAATTGATAAAAATTTAATTTTGACATTTGACATTGACAGAATTATATGCGCCATCTTGAATTAGACTGGGATTTAATTTTAATATCATTTTTTTCTCATAAATATTTAAAATTAACCCAGAATTTACAATAAACGATTTTACAATTTACAATTTTTTAGCCCCTAAATCGTGAATATTCTATGCGTTATTACACCTCCATGGTTCCGCATATGTAATGCATAAAGGACTATATCCGGTTCCACGAAAGCTATATCAAACACAAACTATAACCAAATGAAAACGTAATAACATAGACGTAAAATGTAAAAATAAAATCCATTAGGACCGATTTCGGGCGTTCAAGGGATCATCATCTCTTTGATCGTTGGTTTCGTTTGACGATAAAGCGTCCGTTCATACAAAAGTTACATTTGTGAATTTGTAATTTTCGAATTTTGGAAAATTAAATTCGTTATAGTCGATAATCCAGAGTGTTTGCATCGATTATAACTATTCAAGTAATAAGTTTGGTTAAAAAAAAAAAATTAATCTGTCGAAGTCGAAATGACGTCAAACTGTCAATGTCAAATATTAAATTTAAATTTTTATCAACTGATAGAAAAAAACGATAACAGAACGTAGTTTAGGTTGGTATCAAATTGTAACGTTTTTTATGCTTAAATAAAAATAATCTGTTTTAGTTAAAAAATAAAGACTATAAAATTTTTTTAACCAATACAGGGTGTTTGTAAACATCCTGTATAAGAATTATTGAAGTCCTATTCTTTTGTGTCGGTGATGCGTCTCACTCTTTGGTCTCTCTGGTTAGTTTCTGCTTTTCTGCCAAATCTTTTTAATCTCTCCAGTCTCTATTTAGTCTCATTCTGCCTATTTCTCATTCTTAGTTAAAAAATAAAGACTATAAAATTTTTTTTTAACCAATACAGGTGTTTGTAAACATCCTGTATAAGAATTATTGAAGTCCTATTGTTTTGTGTCGATGATGCGTCTCGCTTTTTGCTCTCTTTCTCGTTAGTTTCTGCTTTTCTGCCAAATCTCTTTAATCTCTCCAGTCTCTATTTAGTCCCATTCTTCAATTACCAACCTATTTCCCATTCTTATTTTTTCTGCCCAGTCTCTTTCTTGTCATTTCAATCACTTTCTAGTCTCTGTTTAATTTCTTCCTTCTATTACGACTCTTTTTTCCATCTTTCTGTTTTCTGGCAAGCTTCTTTCTCATCTTTCTAGCCTCTATACAGTCTCATTTTTTTATAACAACCTCTATTTCTTTCTGTCAAGGTTCGTTTTTGTTTTTCCAATCACTTTCTAGTCTCTGCACAATTTTTTCAGATTTATCAGTATTTATGTTTTATGCCAAGTCTCATCCTTGTATTACCAGTATTTTTCCCATTTTTATTTTTTCTGCCCAGTTTCTTTTTTGTCATTTTTCTAGTCTCTGTCTCAATCTCTTCTTTCTATTATGACTCTTACTTTCACCTTTTCGTTTT